CTGCACAAAAAAATGACTTTTTCTTAGTTGTTGAATAAAGTTGCCATGTTGCACAGCTCACCAGGCTTCGGTTCCATTCCGTCTCCTGTGCAAGGCAAGGATTCCATGCCCGGCCCCTGCAAAGTGAGGCTGCAGGCAGCCAAGTGGGGCACAAAGGGGAAGAGTGACTCCGAGGGGTGACCCCGAGCCTGGTCGGAGGGGAGGGTCAGGGTGCAGTGGGAGAAGGGACCACTGGTCACAGGGCCGAGAGGTCTTGGGGACAGCAGCTGGAACACAGAGTGTCTTAGGGCGGGTGCTGGTGGGACCCCGGTGTGCGTGTGTACAGGGCTCCAGTGGGCTTGAACCTGAACTCTGGTGACCCGGGAGACACGGCTCTGGACAGAGCCAGGCTGTGCCCTGAAGGAGGAGCTGGCCATGCCAGCACCCACATCCCAGGCGCTCGGTGTCCCTGCTGTCAGCTGAGCCATCTCTGCACGTGCTGCGCTGGTGAACGCAGGGAGTGAAGGGTGTTTGTGTTTCACTAGTCAACATCCAGTCCTGCCCGTGGGGAAAGGCAGAGAAGGACCGGCCTGTGCTCCTGGCGATGGACGGGCTGGTTACGGACCCAGGGGTGCTGGTAACGGCCTTGGCCTGCCTGTGTCAGTCTGTTCTGCCCTTCACATTACTGGTGGGTGTGGCTGTGCGTGTGGCTGTGTACCTGCCCTCTGGGGTGCAGCATCAGTCTTTGGAAGACACACCCGGGGACAGCAGCAGCCGTATCCATGAGGCTGCGACAGGAGAAAGCTCCTGGGGCAGCGCCTCTGCCTCCCGCGGGGTGTGGGCAGAGGAAGGTGTGAAGTTATAATAATGGCGTAATTAAGCGATAAGTGGGTATAATTAAGGCCGTATGGGGTAACCGAGACGGGTTAAGTGACATGCCCGGGTTGCGCAACGAGTCAGTGGCGGGGCAGAACGGCATTTGGCCTCTCGGACCATCCTGAGCCAAGAGGGAGAGCAGTTTGTCGGTCTGTCAGTCTGTACAGGTGTCAGAGAGGTCCGTGGAGGTGTCCTGATGGGGCAGGAGGCAAGGGGAGATGACCAAATATCACCTTGGATCATTAACAGAAACTGCCGTTGCAAGCATTAAATCCTTTCATATCATTCAAGATCAATGTAAAAAAAAATAAAGGTGGAGTTTCTTGCTGGGTATTAGCAGTTTGACTGATTTCACCCTAATGATATAAACTCAATAACGCCATGTACTCCCAAGTATTCAAAAATTATGATGTAAGCTTCTGAGTAGCATAATGTCAGCTTAAAAAATAGCTTTAAAAAGGTTTTAAAATATGCAATTAGGGTTGGGTTTTTTTTTCCCTTACTTTCTTCCCGGCCTTGAAAGTATACTTGGGTCACATCCACAGCACATCAGGAACTTGGCTAATGGTTTAAAATGGAAGCTGAGATGCTCCTTTAATGGGAATTTAAGAACAGGGATTTCAGGAAAACTACTGCAGGACTCAAAGCTGAGAGAGCTGGCAACACTGCTATGCACTATTTGTGGCTGTTATTAAGTGAACGAAACGCTGTTAGAAACCTGCTTCTATCAATGAGGAGCAGAGAGTCTTTCTTGGCCTTACAAGTGCGGCTTTTCAGTGGGCCTTGGCAATGCAGCTTCGGCAGATGTGGATGCTGCTTTAATGACAGTTTTTGAAGCTGTAGGGTTGAATTTTCCCACTTACTAAGCTTCACAGCTCCTTATTCAACCAGGTTTTTTTGAAGGTTTCATTGTAAACATTGTTTCTTCCAGAAAGGTGATCCTGCTTTTTAATGTAGGTGACTGCAGTCACCATACACCACGCAGTGCAGAAATGGGTCAAGAATTCTTCAGCACTGGCTGCTTAAGTTTAGGTGTATGCAGAGCCGAATGCTTCCAGCCTTAGAGTTCAGTCCCCAAACTGTCAAGATCACTTGAGTAAAGAGTTCTTCTCTCCACAGCAGTGTCACCGCTTCCTTCTGCTACTGCACTTCTCTTCCTTCCCCTCCCCTCCGTTACAGCCGTCAGTCAGCCAGTTCACAGGCTGAAGTCCAACTTCAATTGATCTTTAAATTGCTGTTCATCACTTTGAGGAAAATTTTATAGTCAGAACTCCGTTGCTGTCTTTGGCAAACCCTTCATGTCTCCACAGCACAACTTGGACCCTTGCTCTGTGTCTATCTGCCAGTCAGCCAATCTCCCTGTAATAACTGTGGAACCTATTAGCCAGTTTTAGCCAAATTGGGCAGAAAGGTTAAAGTCTCAGAGTATGAAGTCAGCTGGCACATAGACAACTTTTCTTTCTAATCAGCACACAGGTTGCTCCGAATCAGCTACAAAACTACTGCCCTTTGCCCAGTCTGTTTAAAGGACGTAGTAGGGAGCTGTGGGAAGAACAAAAAATACACTGAGGGAGCCGCTCTCTCACAAGGTGAATGGGAGGGGTAGACAGGGTTATTGCAGTGGACACAAACTTCTGAGAGAGAGCAGGCTGCAGGTGGCTTATAAACCAACCGTCATATACTTGTTCGTGTGAAGTCCGTGTAGACAATGCAGCCGTTGTAATGTAACTGCAATATAACATCGTTTTATTGAGTGGAACTACACTTTACAGTAGATTTCTACAATGATGTAATGATGAGAAGCCCCAGGCCCCCCACCCTCCATGCAACTTCAGCTCCAGCCATGCTTCTGCAGTACAATACTTGTGAAAGAGAGGTAAAGCCAGAAATGTGACCTGCACTTCTCTAGCTACTGCCCCGGGGAGAATGTAGGTTATGGCAGAAGAAGGAGTGAGCATATCTGGGTTACCACCGTGAGCTGGTACACTCTTATCTCGTGGGAAGCAGATGCTCTGAATCGACAAAATGGAAGAATGAGAATGAAAACTGAGCTGATGATAGTCTGCTGTAGTTGAATGTAGCAGCTCAAAAGAGTTCAAAATTCACTTATGAGGATTCCCACCCAAGAGTGCTGTCATACGAACGTTACTCTCCCCAAAGCAGTAGGCCACAGGCCCCACGTTTCATGGGTCTTGTGGCGTCCACGTATGCCTGAGATCACCCTCAGAGATGACTCGGAGCTGCAAAGTAACTGTGACCCCACCAGAGCTGTGTAATTGGGTACCGTGACAGGTACACGTGTTCTCTATATAAACTTGAGCAGGGACAGAAGATAAAATGAGATGCAGAGGAAGACACAGCACTGCACAGGAACACTCACAGTCTAAGTAGGCACAGTAAGTGAGTGAGGCTTCCAAATGGCCTCAGGGCCGGCCTAACGTTATTCCCGTCAAAGTCAGCGATAAAACTCCCATAAATGGAGCCTTTTTGAAAATCCCACCCTTGGGGCATTAAAGTACTTAAAGGAAGATACTGGAAATCGTGCCGGCTTTAGATTCAATTTTGGTCAGGTTTTTTATACGTATTTCAGTGTGCCCAGCCATGGAACGGTGATTAGAAGGGCTCCCCTGTCTTTCTGTTTTGCTCGTGCACATTTGGTAACTAAAATGTATAGGAACAATTACACCGTGGTTTTCATTCTGCCTCTAAACTGCAGCCACGTGCTGTGTGGAGCTGTGAAGAGCTGCTACTGTGCCTAATGTGGTAAGGGCTGTACGTCTGATATACCAGTGAATTCTGAAGAGGGCAGGTAATCTTGCAGTAAAGGCCCAGGGCTGGCACTCAGGAGATCTGGTTTTATTTCTGAGTTCTGACATGGGCTTCCTGTATGACCTCAGCACAGTCACGTAATTGCTCAGTGCCTCAGTCCATCATCTCTTTAATAGGGTTACTACTTATTTCCTTTCTCCCACCCTGGCTTGCCTTACTTAGACTGCAATTCTGCCAGGGAGTGGAGCATTTCTTACCACGTGCAGGGTACAGTACATTCACCCAGTACAATGAGACCTAATGGCAATGCCTGTGCAGCAATGCAATGCCAATTAAATAAATAAATGAAGATGATAATATCGTTTAGGACTAGATTTGCAGCTTGTAATCCAGCTCAAGGTCAAAGCGCTACGCTTCCCTGAAAGCTCGGGACCTAAGGAAACGCTCCATGGGAAGGTTTCTGCACCGATCAAAATCAGCCCCAAACTGCAGCAGTTTTTGGGAAGGGGCTGAGCACCAGCCACAGCTTTGCAGCAGGCCTTCTCTGGCTAACTGCTGAAAGCTGCAAGTAGAGGCTCCCCAGAGACGCAGTGCTGGAATAAGCGTCTTCTCATTGTGCGTGGACTTGTCTGATCCTGGCTTTTTGTCACTACTGTGGTTCTCCTCCCCTACCAACTGCTACATCATACACACGAACGCCAGCATCACAAACGCCTAGTGGCTAGTGTCTTTTTGAGCTGCCTTGTGTAAGGGGCCGCATTACAACGAAAGCCATGGCAGGGCACACAACGTCGTGACCCAAAATGGAGCTGCAGTGAACACTATTTCCATTACTTGAACCTGCATTCATTCCAATTAATTCATTGGCTCCTACTATATTTAGATAACTGAGGATTAATTGTGTGCATGCTGAAATGCTGTCCCTTGTAATAAAATCATGCCGAACTATTCCTAAGTTGAGTGCCACTTGAATTCGAAACCTAACTAGACCTTGAGGGCCTTAGCCCTTGCTTAGCAGGACGTGTAAGGCATGCGGGATCTGGGCCTTGCTGTTTTCCAATCAAACTGAATGGTTTACAAATCTCATTGCTTGTCTATAATGCTAAATAAATCAGGAATAATTTAATTTGTCTGCTAATTCTATCCAGAAGCACACCTACTACTCAATGCATACAGTTGTCTATATCTGGTATCAGAGACATCACTGCTTTTGTACTAAATCTAGTCCGTAGTTCAGGTCAATACAAAGCTAGGCGAGAACAGATACATACACGTTGCTATGTAGTGTATTTATAAATACATCTACATTAATAGCTTTAT